GAGAATTTTGTGAACAATATAAAATAAATACATTATTTAAAACAAAATAATCCAGAAAGCAGAAGCCTACACTCAAGTCAGTAATATGCTCATCACCTTCATCGCATTTATGAAACAGCAGTTGAACATTTAGAAAATTAATAGAGACATGCTTATTGAGAATTTAACAGATTCATAAATACTCAATTAACCTTATAAATTCAATCCAAACCGAAGCACAAAGGAAAATGTAGAAGCAAAACAATACTGTGCAATTTCAGTTACAAGATCAAGACAGAAAATAAAAAGACCGAGAATATAACAATCCAACCCTGAATAGCACTAGCCCCTCATTAAAGAGAGATGCCCAACATTGAGTTAAAAGCCAGTAAATAAATTTAAACCGAAAGAGAGATAGAGAACCCAAATAATAAAGACTCCAATCAGAATCCCGAACTTTTTAGCTTCTCAACCCAATTCAATCTAAATCAAATCAAACTATTTAATAAAAAATCCTAAGACTACGCAAAATTCCATCTTTTGATCACCCTTTTAAAAAAAAATGAAATTTTGCAAATACCCATCGATAGAGTTCAATCGGAAAACTCACCGCCGACGCTATCCCCCAGCACTCCATCAGGCCTACACTCAGGCGGAGTCTCAAACAAGCTCATCGATAACTGCTTATGAGCCAGGCCGATGTCAAACAAAATCACTCCGGACTCAGGATTCTTATTAAAAATCCCCTTAACGGGCAACCAAACAAAGAGCTCCTCCTGTTTGAACCCATCGACTCCTTTTAAAACCCCGTAGCTCAAGTTTCCGGTCACCACCCGGTCAAAATAAGCGAGGCTATCGTACTTTGCGTAACAAGGTTTTTCTAAGTAGGCTTCGAGGAGAGAGGTTGATGGGTCGAAGGTGAAGTTGGCGACCGATTTTGGGAGGAGGCCAGGGGGGAGGCCGTGGGCTTTTAGGAGGTCGTGGATCGGGTCACCGCCGGTGAGAATAGGTAGGAGGAAGATGAAAAAGAATAAGAGAGAAGGAGTCGCCATGAGAGAGAGAGAGAGGTTTAAGGGGGGTTGAGAGCTTAAAGAGAGAGAGAGAGAGAGAGAGAGGAAGAGAGAATGTAATGGTGGATTTTTAGGGAAGAGAGGCTGGCATCTGGTAGGATGACAAGCTTACTAAAAAACGGAGTTTTCAGGTGGGGGCTACATATACAATGGAGAAATTAGGAAATGACGTAATTGCCCCCTCTTTTGTTGCGGAGAAAATCTTGTTAATTGAACCGATTGGTTTTTCGGGATATTTTGTTGAGATTTTATTCATTTTTAAATGGAGAAAATACTCGTTCAAAGGTGGAAATAAAAGTATTACGGGAAATAAAAATAATATTGAATTTACGCCTTATATGGGCGACAATTTAGGATGCAACGGAAGGTTGTACAGCTTCAAAGAATTTGACGAATTCATAGTACGACAGAGTTTATACAAGGTGTAATTATGCAATCTTTGATAACTCTTACTTTTGGTAAAATTTTGGTGGTTATTAAACTTCTCTTGCTTGGTAATATCATTTGTTAAAAAAATAATGTTAGAGGCACACCACCCACCACAACCCCAACCACACTCCCCTCTCTTATTGCTACAGTAAACCGGGTCCCACATGGGATTTAAAATTTTTTAAAATCACATGTGGGGCCCGGTTTACTGTAGCAATGAGAGGGGGGAGTGTGGTTGGGGTTGTGGTGGGTGGTGTGCCTCTAACACCACTCTTGTTAAAAAGTAATAGAAACAAAAAAAAATATAAGTTACTTTTTTTACAAATGACTTTTACATCCGTATTAGCACATAAGTGAAATACAATGTTTGTTTGAAAAATTAAATTATTGTTGAAAGTACAATATGAAGATGATGTGGCAAAATAAGACTAATTAGAAAATATAATTAAAATTATTTAATTAAAATTAGTTACCGTTTTTGTCACTTTCATATGACCTCACCACTTTTTTAGAGGAAGTAAAAATTGCATTAAATCCTATATGGCAACTTTCTTGCATCTTACCTTATATAACCACTTGCATACAAACAAACACCTAAAAATTATTAAATGAAATTGACTATCTCACTTTTATTTTTCACTTGCATGCAAACAACACTCCCTTAACTTAATAATGGTTTGCAATAAAATTTAACTACCACTTCTTTTTTCAAAACGTCATAATCATCACATCACCATTGTATATAATGTAAAAATATTTCTCACAAAAGTTAGTATAATGATAATTTACACTATAACGCCTTACAATTTCTTGATATATATGCATACAAAATGAATTATTTTGGATTAAATGCAACGTATAAGTAAATTTTTAGGGAAAATTACTTCTAGGCCCCAAATTTGAACTTTCAATGTGCTCTAACCCCTCCTATTTTTTTTATGTGCTTTAGCCCCTTTTTGAAAAAAAAATGTGCCCAATGCCACTCTATCATGATTCCAACTCATGCCAGCAGTTGATTAGACATGTCAGCTCATGATTAGACATGTCAGCTGGCTTAAATCCCAAATTTACCCTCCTCTTTCTCATGCCAGCGGATGTTAACTCTTACAGCTAATATGTTAACTCTAATAGTTAACATGTTAACTCTTACTAATGTGCCCATGCGAAGTTCCTCGGGACGACGCAGGCGGCGGAACAGGGAAGGCGGCCAAAGGCGGGACCAGGCAGCGAGGAGAGGGGCAGGTGATGGGAGCGTGCAGCGGGTGCATGCGTGGCGGAGGCTGGCGAGGGCGAGCTCGAGGCCGCGGCGGCGAGAGGCGCGCGGGGAGCTGTTGCACGCAGGGCGAGCTGAGGTGGCGGTGTGGCTGGCGGATGGTCAGGCGTGGTGGGGCAGGCGGAGAGGGGAGGCGCCGAGCGGAGGCGTGTGAGGGAGGTGCGGGGCTTAGCTCCGGGAGGGAGCGGCGCTGGGCGTAGCGCGAGGTGGGGGCTAGCGGAAGCGGGGGGAGGCGAGGGAAGGGCAGGCAGCATCGCGCGAGGGAGGTGGGGGCTGTGGGAAGGGGGGAGGCGTAAGGGAGCGGCAGGCGCGTGTTGGGGAGGATCGGCGGAATGTGGCGCATGGTGGCGGCCTGTGGCGGAGGAAGGCGACGTGTTGGCGAGGGGACAAGGAGGACGGCGTGGGGAGGAGGTGGACGGTGAGGGGAGGGAGGCGTGTGGGGAGCGGCAGTGACCTGGGAGTGGAGGGACAGGCCAGCATGTGGGGCAGGGAGGCGGAGGGACGCGGCGTTGGGAGGAGTGGCGGGCTCGGGGCGAAGGGGGGAGGGACGGGCAGGGGCAGGGAGCGCGGCGTGTGGGAGGGCGGAGGGAGGGCAAGGGAGCCGGCGTACGGTAGGGGAGGCGGAGGCGGCGTGGAGGGAGGCGGATGCGGGGGAAGGGGCAAAGGGGGACCGACAAAGGAGGAGGAGGAGGGAGGTGAAGGAGGGCAAAATCAGGATTTTGGACTGGAGGGGCCTGGACGTAATTTTTAAAAAAAAGAGGGGGTGCAGCACATTAGGGAAAGTAAGGGGGACTGCAGCACAATAGAAATTGAGTTTTGGGGCCTTGAAGCAATTTTCCCAAATTTTTATATAAAATTTTTTAATAACTTGAATAACTTTCTTAATCTAATGAGAATACTGTTTTGCAATCAATCCAGGAGAGATAGGACCGTCTTGAAAGGACAAATTCCAGTCATCTTACATTAACAATATTTGATGTGGTTTGATCAATAATAACCTATGTCGACATAAAAGACATATCATAACCCTAGTTGATGAAATAATACAAGGAACATATAACACTAGTTTTCAATCATACATGAAAATATCATTACTCTAGTTGATGAAATAATACAAGGAATGCATCGCTAGTTTTCAGTCATACATGAAAAAATCACACTAGCACATTGTGCTGTACAAGAGTAGTTTAATGGGAGTGAAAATTCTATCAAAATGTCCAACATCATGTGACATTCTGAACCTAAACATGTGAAGTGATGGGCATTATGGTAATTTCCATGCCCCATCTTGGTTCAGCTTGCCTCGCAATATGAGTTCTGATAAGATGCCTCCAAATCAACAAAATCATCCACTTTGTTGGATATGCTAAGTACAATTCTGACTATATTTTTGTTGATAATTTTACATTGCAAGCCTATTAGATTGAGGAATTTTTATTTTTATTTTTATTTTGTGATTAGAGATTGATGGTTTACTAAATTGGGGTACTTTTTAAAGTTAATAATTGAGACGATAGTTTTGTAAATCCTAAGATTTAGAAGTAGTTATGCAAATACTCATGATTGAAGGGATGTTATATATATATAAAAATCCTACAAATAGTTAGAAATATTCTAGACAACAGGAACTTTCTCCTTAAACTGAGGATCAGACGAGACGCTCGAAGAGCAAAAACTAGCAAGAAATAACCAAAAATCTATAAATAAAAAAAGAAATATATATGTAATCATAACGAATTTGCTTAACCAGCTATAGGGCAAACACTACAAAAAACCAAGTTCTACTTCACGCTAATTTTGTTGGAAAGGAATTCAGAAAGGGGTAGTTTTGTCACTCTGCGCTCCTAACAGGAGAAACTTTGCTGTTACTAAATGGAGAAGAATAAATGAGCTTGATGAGGGGACTTCTAATTTGGCTGGTGTTTTGGCTGTGCATGGAGAGAATCTTAAAAGGGGTTGGAGGGCGAAGCCAGAGTGGCTCAGTAGAAACAAAACTGCGTATAAGTCCAAACTTTTTCACTCACAACCAAGGGGCCTTCAATCATTCCCTCCGCTCTTACTAATTCTGTGGGCAGCACCAAAGAATATAATAGTAATGATAATTCATAATTAATAATGATAAACGTTTTTATAATGGCTACTTACTTTTTTTTTTTTTTGGGAATAACAAGAGCCAAGAGTGCTTAAAACTTATCTAGAAAGAAATTGCTGAAAATATTATACCTTAAATGTTAGAGTTAATTATGAATAGATTTGTCTAGTTGGAGATAGATCCCTTGGTAGTTCTAATTATGCCAATAGATTCTTTGAGTGTAAGTTTTTCGCTCTTAAAAGATCCAAACAAGTTTTATAGAGACGGATAGTATATTATAATCTTATCGATGTGGATAGGCTCGCAATTGCCAATTTCTTACTCCTACTAGAGTTAAAATTTTTGGAGGGTGTCTATTGCACTAGGGCAAGACAGTAAGGAGGTCTACCCCGACAATAGAACTAGAGGGGATCTATCCGCAATTAGGTAGTATAAGAAGGGGTCTACCAGCAATTAATCATCAATTTTACTAGAGAGAAATCCTAGTTCATCTCGTTTACTTTCCATTATAAATTGTGAAGAATTACTATTTTGGAGTGGTTGTCCACATGAAACTTAAAAGTGGAAACGGATACGATGCATAAATAATGCAGCCTAATCAAGTTTAAAGGTTTATTTTTCCTAACAAGGATTTATTATCTGTTAAGTTGAACTCTATGCAGATATATACACTTTAGTAGGTGAGTGCCTATACACTTCTATAGGCCCAAATTAAGAAACTGATGGAATTAGGTAATTATGTATCGGTTACGAAAATAACGTGCTCAATTACTAATTTGACTATTTCTCTTGTTGTCTGGTTTTGCTAGAGTGAATCTAACTCCGTCAGTCGTCACGCTCAATGTCATCATTTTTTACCGACAGTTTCAAGTCAAACTAATTACCAGTATAAAACTTTAATGTAAATGAATAAAAATTAGCATCATTAACATCAGAAAGAGACGGCATTAGCCGGTTGTGATTGTACTCCGCTCTAAATGATTATAAAAAAAAACTACAGACCGTCTCTTAATTTATAATCTGATTCTGTTGAAAGTTGAGGGTGGCACTAATGCAATTTTGTATCTGGCTGAGCTTAAATATAAATGTAGCGAGAATTAGAAACAAAGTTTTGATTAGATTGAGGGCGGAGGGGTTCTAGCCATTCCAATCAATTATCTTTTGAAAACTTAATTAATTTAATTGAGTAGCTAGTGTGGCACAAAGTTTTAACAAAACATGTTTAGCCACAACATGGCCGACTTGATAATGACCCTCTTAAGCTAGTTTAATCTCAGATTAACAGAGTTTAAGAGGTCAAG